TTAGGACTTTTTCTTTAATAGAATGACTGATTACACAAAATATGGTTGGAAACAAAATGACAACATTTGAAAAACACAGCAGTTCTCCCTTACTGTAGGGGACATGTTCCAAGACACCCTTGTGGATGCCTGATACTGTGGACTGTGCCAAACACTATGCAGACCTGGGAGTGTAAGCAGTGCAAAACAGGAAGAGCTGACTGATGACCAGTGTATGCCCATGGGCCGGTAGTCCACACAGGTCAGACACAGCAGCGATGTCCCAAGCAAGGCAGGCTGTGTAGAACGGTTTGTGAGTGAAAATGATGATTTCTAAAACTTTGCATTTAACATTTTCATGACATGGTTGACACAGGTAACTGAAATTGCAGAAGGTAAGACCACAGCTCACAATAGACTACATTAAATAAAAAAAAAGAGGCTCCTGCTTTAAAATATTTTTTTTTATTAATTAAGAGGCACAGAGCAACAGGTGATCACGAGGAGCACCACTTTTTAATGTTCAGTGTTCACTGCAGGGTAGTTAGTGAAATTTAAACAATAGGACAGGACTCTACAATACAGTCATCTAAGGCACCTCTCTCCTGAATCCTCAGTGCTCTATTAAACATTTATTGCTTGGGTTCCAGAACAGAGGAGGCAAAAAAAAAAGTCAAGGTTATTTTATTCATCATGAAATCTGTTTTCTCAAACTATCAAATACTATATTCTTTAGAAACATGATATTACATTCTTAAATTTATCTAATGCATTTTGGGATGTAAAATTTTATCCTGTGGTTAGATTTACATTTTCACTTAACACCACTGACGTGTGTCTTCATCTTTCTTCAGTGATCATTTTAAAAGGTAGCAGAAAAGCAGAAGCTGCATAGTTCTCATAAATGACCTCCTATCAGTGAATATGTAGGGTGTTTAAAATTTCTAATAAAAGCAATGCTGCAATACTGTGACACAGCATTTTCTGTAACCAGGATCTCTTCCTGAAGAGGAAATGACTGGGTCTCTATAAACATCTGCTATTCGACGGACTTTTAACCTTTTGTGAAGAACACACTTTATCTAGAAAAGAAGCATTTACGGTTCCATCGATGAGAAATGAATGACATGTCTATGGGCCAGCCCCTCATCCCAGAATGGGTACAGAGAGCATCTCGAGACCCCTCACCTCTCAGCCATACCTCAAGCCTTCAAGGAGAAACCAGGTTGTCACACCTAATTCACATGCGAGATTTGTGGCAGGACTCATAGCTAATAAAGCTGACCCCTGAACTCAGCCGATTACAAAACTATGCTGTATTTCATGTAACAGTGAATAGCGGTATTTCCTAAAATGCGCACCGAACATATGGCTTCTCTTACTGTTCAGGAGCGTATTTGAGAATCCCACAGTCAGACATTCCTAGCACTGCTCCCATTTGTGAAGATGGGTGGACTCACGGAACTTTAGGACTGTGAACTTTGATCTCACCACACAGCCGAGAGGACCTGTGTTCCTGCAGTGACACCACGCTGATGCTATGCTTGGTACCTCTCAGCACAGCGCTCACAGGTAACTGCTGTCCGGCTGCCTCCGCTATTGCAAGAGCTGATGTCACCCACTGTTTATGTCCTTCCGTGGGAGGGGTGCATCTTCAGCTAAGACTCAAGTCTGGTTCTGCAGCCAGAGGCAACTGTCTCGCAGCCCTGGGGTGGGTCAGCAGCTGCAAGGCCACCCACGCACAGACAGGACTCTCAGCTGTCACTCTGCTCAGAGCCCCAGTTGGTCCCGACCCCATACAAATTTGGTGTCCTCGCTTTGATGTTTATGAATAGACTGCATTAAAAATGCAGGATGATTCAGGGGTTAGAGAAACTGTTATTTATACAAATGTGGTTAGCACCTCATCATTTCAAACGCTGTGCTAATAACACTCATTGTGCTCTTTGTTTTCTATTGTTTGCCTCCAAGTCTCCAACCTGCATTCGCTCTGGCTTTATGTTGTGTGTACTGGACTAGAATCAAACTCTTAGACAACTACAGGGTTCTGCATATAAAGGCACTTCCTCCGGAAACCTCCTACACAAACAGGGAGCCAACACCAAGTCCAAAACAAGGGAACTTGCCGCTAGAATGCAGTCTGGCACGGGGGCCAGGCAGCACTCAGTACATTCTTCAGGTGCCTCACAAACCTGTGTTTTGAAGCAGACAGGCTCTGAAGTTTGCTGTGTGAATTCTAAGAATTCCACATGGTAATGCTGAAAGTCAAATGTTATTTGTTATTAGGTATGGCCTAACATTTAAGGACAACTGCTACTCAGGGTGCAGTCTGCTTACAAAGAGATTTCTTTTACAAAATATACAGTCAAAGTGGAACAAATCAATCAATAAAACTATACTGAAAATGTATATGCCTACTAAATTAGATCCACAAAAGTTTATGGGAAAAGCTCAGGAAATTCACTAATTTTATCAGACTAATCATATGCTCAGTAACTATTCTCCTCATAGTTAGGACAGACCCACCAAACACAGGCAGCTTTTCAAATTTTAAATAATTAAGTTAGGCAACATTAAAGATTTGGTTCCTCCCCATCCCTGCATGTGAAATGAGAACAGGCACCACAGCGGTCAGTGCTGATACACAGGGTTTTAGTAGCAAGTCCGACAGACAGCACGGGGCAGGATTATAAGGAATTATGCCTGCACCACTAGTGCACCTCCCTGCTTACCTCGCTTAGTTAAAAACCAGAGATTCAACAGAGAGCTATGGATGTACTCGGGCTTCGGAGGGACATGACATTCTTCACAAAGCAAAATAAAATTTAAAAAAGGGTCACACTTCTAGCTCAGGAGCCCTATGTCCAACTCCCTAAATTATGTTTAGTAGACTAGATTAAAAACACTAATGCGGCTGGGGCCGGGGACTTAGCTCAGCGGTTCCGTGGTCTGCCTCGCAAGCTCAAGGATCTGAGTTCAATCCCCAGTACCAAAAAAAAACCAAAACAAACAAACAACCAAAAAAACTAACGCGGTTCTCTAGGCCACTGAACAGTCTACAAAGAATCTAGGATTGTTTAAGTTCAGTTAAGAGTACGTCCTCCATCTGTAATTCTGATTAGATAATCACCACTCAGCATTCTGTGGAGCCACCGGACACACTTCTCAGCCACTCGGAATAGCATTCTTTTCCTTCTCGATCTACACTGAGACAATGTGAGCCCACCTGGTGAAAACCCTCTGCAGGGCTCATCCACCCTGCCCGCCAAGCACACACTCCTGCGTTCTGGGAGGAAAGAGACAGCTTTTTGTGGGCACCGAGTTCTTTCTCCTGCTTCTAAAGTTTTTCACTGTCAATTCACCTCCAATAGTCTTCATACTCATAAGACCTGCGAGGCTCCACATCCACCCCATGCCCCTCATGGACACTAACAGAGCCTGTGTTCGAGTACAACACTCGCGGCTCTAGACAAGTGCGCTCATGTGAGGTCCCTTACAAATACTCCATCTACTCTCCATTACAGGAGCTTTGTACAGTATCTTTCAGGAAAGAAATTTTAAAGTCCTAGTAGACAGCTGATTTATTTCAAGTCATTATTATTTAAACTCAACACTATTCAAATCATACAGTGAATACTTACTACAGGAATTTAATGAGGAGTTTCAACTTTCTGTTCTTTATAGAAGTGTAACGATTCCCTCTGATAAAAATAAAACAACTCCAGAGAGTTCCTAGAATGCACTCTCAATCAGGTCTACTAAGTGTCTCCGTTTGGATTCTGTTAAGGTACCGTAAGATAGTGGTACTTTGCAGCCATTAAAAGTGTCTGAAGAAACAAAAATTCTGGTTTCACTTATGAAATATATGTATTAATAAAAATCTATTATAGATTTATATAATATAAACATTAATCTATACGAAAAGGACATATATCAATAAAATCTTTAATAAAAACATAAGCATATACAAATAAGGAGGGAAGTCACGTGACCCCCCCATCATTCATGGAAGAAACATTTACACTCCTTAAAGATTGTGATTTGGGGGTTTTCTCCGACCATAACTCTTTAGCAACAAGGTTTGTATTTCTGTATCTCTTTTCTGTTCACATCAGCCTCAGCCTTCTCTATTATGTTTCACCAGGGCATCTTCTGGCATCTGAAAACTGCCACCCAACAGCTCCCTAAACAGCACAGGATTAGGCTGGGTGGTGGCCAGCAACTAATAAAGATATCCGTATGTTTGACAACACTGGTTAGAAGGCGTTAAGAGGTTTCCCGGAATTTAAACATCTCTTTCTTCACTCATCTGTTGTAGAAGATCCAAAATATCCTGAAGAACTTGGACTTGCCCTCGAGTAAGTCTTCTCCAACTTCTTAATGAACAACTCCAGGCTTCCTGTCCTGAAGGCAAGCCTCTGAATGACTCCATCCAAAGAGTTTTAAAGGTGTATTTTGGAATCACTTAGTAATTCTTCAGTAATGTAATGAGAAGTCTAGGTACCCTGAAAATAAAGTTGCTATTCCAATTCTTCGCTGAAGTGTTAAAACTACAATGACGATTCTAAGTTATTTTCAGTCTTGAACAAGTATTACCTTGATTTTAAAATTCCAATGCTTAAAACCAAGCAGTGATGCTAAATCAAGCTGGATATTGAGAACATTCATCCCAACCACCCAACTTTCTAGACAACAGGATAAGGAAATAGATTTATGTTGTTGGCTGTTTTTTTCAATACTTTTTGAAATAAAGTAGCTTCTTTACTGTTACATTCATCTAAATAGTTACCATAAATAGTTCCCTAGTGTTGTTATTTTAAATAGATGAATGGAAAGAGAAATGGAATACAATTTCTCTTTCCCCTCCTTATAAAACCGAAAGGCGATGCAGAAAAAGGGAACAGAAAGAGTTCTTTCTGAGACTGGTGTCAGAAGAATTTAAATGTTTCATATATTTAGTTGTTGGTTCTTCTTTTTTTTGTACTGGGAATAGAACTCAGGTCCCTGCGCTTGCAAGGCAGGCGGTGGAACCACTGAGCTAAATCCCCGGCTGTTTTATATATTTAGGATAGCAGTAATAGAAGTAAACAATTTGAAACATTCATCCAAAGATACATACTTAGTTTCTGAACTAATATGTTCATCTTTAGAGTCACATAATTTTTTGCTTAAAAATTTTTGTAGTCAAGACATAGAAAATTTTTGTTGGTACCGGGGATTGAACACAGGACATTACACTTTTGAGGCAGGTGGCAGAACCACTGAACTAAATAACCCAGCACAAGATGCAGAAATATTAATAGAAGACATTTCAACTATATAGCAAAAATTCATGGCCTTCTAACACAAATGATAACTTTCACCCTTTTTACAAGAGATCCAACTGGCTATCCAATTTTATGTTGGAACAAAATCATTTCTGAAAGAAGAAAATTTGCAAATATTCTCTTCCTTATTTTCAATTTGAAAATCTTTTTCAATTTTCCTAGTCAAATAAAGGACTATAAAATACAAGTATGAGGGCCAGGGATTTAGCTCAGTGGTGCCACCGCCTGCCTCGCAAGTGCAAGATCCTGAATTTGATCCCTGGTAGGAAAGTAACAAACAAAAAGTATGTTTTTCAAAACTACTTTTTAGTAAACAAGAAGTTATTTACTCATTTTTAACACTGTATAAATTTTGCAAAACTATATGATTCAAAGACAGTATGTGTTAACTTATACTGAAATATTTACCTATATGAAGTTGTACCAGGATATTTAACACAATAATATAGTCCTGCATGACTGAGGAATATTTGTTCACATTTATTTATATTAAAATGCCAAAATGGTGGTTCTGTAATTTAATAAGACAGACACTAGTGTTCAAGAGTTAGGATAAATAGAAAAATGCATTTCAAACTTTGTTGTTTTAACCACTTGATATCTTGAGTATACACTGTCCTTTATGATAACAAATACCAGGCTATGGGCTAATTTAACTTTAGTCTTATAATACTTATGACACTCAAATGGGTTGGAAAAGGTAAACATCTCTGCTCCGGAACATTGTTTCTGGAGTAGGACTATCCTTCAGTGTGTAACAGACCCAAGGGCTACAACTGGGTGGAGGGGGAGAGAAGGGATGGAGCTTTTTCAAGCAGGAATAGATTATATTTACTGATTAATTCCTATACAAACTTGGGCAGTTTCCCACTTATTTTGGGATGATATTAGTCTCAGTTCACTTCTCTTTCTGTTTAACAACTAAATACTAAAGGATACCCAATTTAACAAATTTTAAGCCAGCAATATGAAAGCAAGTCTCAAATTAGGAGCAATATTTGATATAGATTGTTTTCAGACTGTATCACTTTCCTGGTTGGACCACCCAAAGAGAATTTAAGCAAAACCAATTATTTCAGGGCAAAAAAGAGTCTAAAATTCTATTTCTCCAATGTAATGACAACCCAACACTTAAACCATCAGTCATTATATTACTTAGTACAGTATAAAAAGGAGGTAATATCCTAAATGAGGTTTACCATTAATCAAAAATTAAAATCAACACCCAAAGTCAGAAATACTATTATTTTAAAAATTTACTACATTGGTTTTCTCCCGTTTACTATACCAAACAAATAAACAAACTACCCCCAATTATTTCAACAAGTTACAGACATAAGTCCATGAGTTGGAAGGCAGAAAAACATCAACCTCTAAGAGTTCATTTTAATTCTGATTGGAGCTGCATGTCTTGAAACACCAGTGATACTAAAACCGCACTGCTGTCCGTGGTCAGGGTGTGTAAACACACCGTGACCCTAGAAAAATGAAAATATTGTCAAGCAGAAATATTTCTTTTTACAAATGCTTGGAGTAAAATCACAACTATATAAAAGTTGACAATACAGTCATTTGAGACAGCTCACATAAACAGAGGGACTTTCGAGGACGGCTCCTCGCAGTGCCCCACCTTGGAGGACAAAGCATGCGTGTGCAGGGCACCACTTCACGTGTCAGGGGCACCGGCGGGCCCCGCGCGGCTGTCATCCGGGCCATCGCTCTCCCTGTCCCAGTCCTTCATGGACGCTCCCATCATGAAGTCATCACGCAGAATGCTCCACCCTGGGCCCTCTTCTGAGTTCACTTCGGTCTGAGGAAAATAAAAGAATCAACAAACACATTCAGAAATCAATCCAATCACAAGAAAATAAAAATTCAAGCTACAAGCAAGCTCTTCAACACTCAGGTTTAAGAGGCAGGTAAAACCAATACAACTTCTAAACTGAAGTCAGTTTTACTCTATGATCAAATATGCACAAATGTACAATAAAGGATCACACATTAATAAAATATTTTATCAAGCTCATAAAACTCATGAACTCCACAAATAATTAGGGAGTGTAGTAAAATCTAGATCTGTGAGTCTTTTGGCAACCAGAACTTACAGTATTATTTAATATTCAATGATAATTTAATAGGAAGTTCTTGAAAAACTATTTCGATATAGACAGAAATTCATCAAACACTTTTAACCCAAAGTGAAGGAGAGCAAAGGAAATCGACCCTGGTACTGTGCAGGGCTTTTGCAGATGCTATCTAACTGACATTTTATAAAAGATCTGAGCCAAACGTTCTTGAGAGCTTATTATATCACTGACCGACTGTGTGATGAGAGACCAAGGACATGCTACGACCATAAACAGCCAAAGTAGACAATAACACAATAGGCGGTCAGTTTATTCCTTCGTGTAGAACACCTAAGACAGCCCAGAAACACAGGCTTCCAGTGCATGGAACAACAGTGCCACCGTGTGGCATTAAGAAACGCAACACATGCAGAATGAAGTTGGAAAACTTCGCAGTTCGGTCCACAAGTACTTACTGAAAACAGGGTACCAAACACTGCTCTTCGTGTCAGAAACACAGGGCAAGCAGAACAAAGACCTTGCTTCCACAGAACCAACTGTGTATGCAGATCTGTTTATTCCCTTTATAAAAATACACAATTCTGGAAAGTTCTAGGTGTGAATGTAAGCACCCTTAACATTCAGCTTGAAAATACTGTTTGTTATCTTTATTAACATGGCTACTAACCATGTAGGAAACAATTTAAAGAAAAATATATTAAAGATACTTGCTAGGCTGCAAGAAACTGCCAACCTAAACTTAACTGCTGAAGTACCTTTTATTTAAAATGGTCCAGCCCTAAAACTTATTACATTAAAAAAAAAAGAGTCCATTTTAAAAGGACACTTAGAACCAGGGGGGAAAAATATCTATTGCTTCACTCCTATATGCTACAGGTCAAAATTTCAAGCAGTGTTTGCCCCTAAATAGGACCTAGAGACCGGACAGCACAACAGTGTAAGAAAAGATTTCAGAATTGGTATATCGGGAGTAACAATACACTTTGTACTCTGATGTAACCAACATAAAGAAACAAACAAATATCAATTCTAATGCTTCTCAAGCCAAGTAGACGGGAGGCAATTCGGAGGAAAGCAGTCATTAGAACCCTCCCCTCCATCTGCTCCTACTGGATTAAGCTGTCTCAGGAGTTAGGAAGCCACTAGCTGACTCATATTTTGTCAGACTCCTCACCTTGAATAAAAGAAATGGGTGTTTCCAATAAACAGACCTCTGCTCAGAACCAGCAATGATCACACCTCTTCCTCGTCAGACTGACAATTGGAAGCTTTGAATTCTGGGAAGCGTGTGGCCACAGCTGAGGTACCACCGACATTTTGGGAATTATGAGAACACTCACAGTTTAATGAGTCGAATTAAACCAATTACAAAGTCCTGTCCTCGCTGCAGCTGTGTGTGTGCCTGAGCGAGTGCCAGCCGGGGCCCAGCACGGGCAGCTCCACCTGCACTGTGGTGCTCGCAGGGGCTCCAGCGCAGAGCCAGAAAACCTCGGCAACAGCAGAACAGGGTACGGGAGGGACGGAGAGAACAGAACACAGAAAATACTTCAAACAGCAGCTCAGAAGTAAAGAAGTATAGACCAAAGGAAGGGATTTATTGCAATGGTGAGAGACCGGTGCCCTCATGATTGTGTCCAAAGGCGATTGATTACCGGAGCCGTCCATTCGGCCACTGAGAGCAGTGACAGAGTAAGTTCAAAGTTCCTCTCAACTATCCAATTTGAAAAGCGAAAGCTCAGCAGGGCTTTAGAGTGGGATCTAAGTGATCCTGTTGACATGACCAGTGATCTATGACCAGCGATCCTTAAAATGGGACCCCAGCCTAACAGTACCACTTGGAAACCTGTTAGAAGTTAGAAATCAGAAAATCATTCCAGCCTTACTGAGTCAGACACTTCGGGGTCAGGACGTGACCATCTGCTTTTATAAGTTCCCTGCTCCCCGGCGACCGCGACATGGCCAATGAAAGGATAAGCACGTCTTAGTGACAGTACTTGCCCAGTGCTCAGAGACCAAGGCACTTTATAGCGCAGGGGGAGGATTTCAGAAAACCCTATCGGTTTGGAAATCCAGCACTGGGCTTAGCTCCGGGTGTCTCTGGTGTGGTCACTGCTCACTGTCACACAGCGGGCTTTTCACATTGGGAAGCAACAGGTGGAGAAAGAGCAGACAGAAAAAGTGGTTCCAGCAAGTGTGGGTTAACATTAAAAACAGATACTCTACAACAAGTGTCTACAGGTCAGTTCAAGAAAGAAACTGTTTTAAAGGCAAAAGAACAATGCTTTAATGTTTAATTTCCACAACTGCTAAAGAAATATGTACCAAAGGGGGGCAGAAGGCCCTGCTGATGTGGAAGTTTGAATACAAACAACTACTCTTGCTGAGCTGCAGTTCTCAATAAAAACACAAGAAAGGAAATGCTGGTTTTAAAGATCTAACCAGCAAGGACCAGATGAGAGGAGGCAACAGCAGCACCACCAGGCTGGAAGGCAGACAACGCAGGTAAGAGGTCTCAGCAGGCAGCCAACCTATTCACCCCACTGCCTGGAGAAGAAACAGGCGCATCGGAGCACAAGCTGGAGTTCCGGGTACACAGTGAAGAGAAGTGGGGGACGCTGTGATCCGAGACACCAGGCCACTGGAGACCCCTCCAGGGACCCAGCACAGTGGAGGCACAGGCACAGGCACAGAGCGCAGCGGTCGGGAGTAAGTGAGCGGCACCCCCACTGCTCTCACCATGGCTCTCCTGACACACTGGCAGGCTAACAACTCTAGAGAAAATCTCACCCATCGATCGCTACTCTAACAAAGCCCCGACCCAGAGAACCTGGTGGGGAAGCTTCAGGGGCAACAGCCCCACGTTCAATCAAGAGTGCTAATCGCACTTTTAGGACTACTGGTTCTAATCAGAAACAAACAAGGGTTGTCAGAAAGAAGCTAGTAACAAAAAAGCAGAAAAGGTACTTGTAGGAAAAAGGAATTAGTCAATGAGAAAAAATAGAGGGAAAAATCATTAATATTCTCAAAGATTTAGTAGAATACAAGCATTCACAAAAAAAGGGCCATTCACATTTTAAAAGAAACACAAAGAGAGCAACACAAAACCTGAGGGTAAAAACACGAGAGTAGAAATTACAAACCTGACACAGAAGTGATTAAATGAGACCTGTGTAAAGAGGGGAAAGAGACCGCTCCGGGTTGGATATATATAAAATGTGCACCCAAATCTCATGTGCTCTGGGGCAGGGCTTTTGTGAGGTGGCCCCTCAGCAAGACTGAGCTGTCCAAGGTGGGTCCCAGCGGCTGCGCCATGGAGCGCACCTCCCTCCCCTTCTGTCCATTTCCTGCCTGTGAGGCTGGGCAGTTTTCCTCCGGCCTGGGAACATGCACACCACTGACCGAATCTTCTGAAAATGCGAGCCAAAATATACTTCTCTTTCTAAAGTTGTGGGTATGAGACATATTGTCACGGGAAAGTGACTAATGCAGAGATGAAATAACTGGAGAAGCAGCTGAGAAGGTTGCATATATAAATAACGAATTCTACAGCACAGCCAAAATGGATGGGAGGAAGTTAAGGAAGGAGTGAATGAAGAAAATGTCCCCAAATGAAGGAGAACACATTTCCGAAGTTACGAAGGACCCAACTGAGTGCCCAAAACACAAAATAGAAACAAAATTAGGTCAAGGACTTCACTGTAAAATTTCTAGACAATCAAAACTAAAAGAAAGGACAATAAGCTTCCACAAAGAAAATAAACAACTCATATATACACAAAGGATCAAGCATCAGAGTGTAGTCTGATTTTCCAATAGTAACTCCAACAGAAGAGCCCAAGAAGCAAATACTTAAAAAAAAAAAAAGTAATCTCCTGTTTAAAATTCAAGAACTTGAGACATTACTATTCAAGCATAAGGACAGAACAAGGCTATTTTCAGACACAGGCGATCCCTAGAAGTTTATGTCCCATGTAGCCATTCTCAGGAGAGCTGCTGAGGGTGTCCTCCAGAAAGTGATGGAGCAAGCCAAAAGAAAGACGGGGGCTGGGAAAGTAGGAGACGCAACACAGCGAAAAGCGTTTCCAGCACCACAGCGAGCGGAGGGCACCCTGCCTCTGTGTCTGCCTGCACGCCCTGGTCCAGCAGGACAAAGCCCCTGGACATGCGCTGGCCCAAAAGGGGGAAAGTGGAGAAAAGAGGCAGGCACAGGAGAGGAAACAGGGTAGGGTGATGGTGAGGAGAGTGCAAAGATCACAGGTAATGGATATCCCCAAATGAAGCCCTGGTGTGACCCAAGAAAGAAACCAACCTAGGCAGGAAAAGAGCTTCGAGGAAATAATGTCCCAGAGAACATAATTTTAATATTATCAATTTGATTTTGAAGAACTACATATACTATGGAAGTTAAACGTGAAAATCAAGCTATCATTACCTTTCAGAAAAACATTAAATAGAAATACACGTGCAGAATATTACAACATTCAGCTGTAAATAATACTTGGACAAGTGTACATGCTGAACACTGACCTAAATAATTGTAAACCAACTATACTGAGAGTACATGGGAGAAGACAAAGACTGTAGAAGAAGTAAATCTCTGTCTACCATAACAGGAAGCCAAGAAGTCAGTCAGTCTGCTGATTCCTAATTTATGTCTCATTCATATACATATATATATATGTTAGTTTGGAAGGAAAAAGGAGTCCTGGCCAGATCACAGTTC